GCTCTATCATCAGTGTGCCTTTGTCATCACCGCTCTAAATCCCAAAACAAAATCGACCTACTTGCGACCTTACTTGTTGGTTTCACGTATAGCAAAAGACTGTATGTTGACACTTATGTATCGGACATAAACATCAAAAACCGAACCAAGAAGCAAGAAAAAAAAGAACAAAAATGGGGTGAGAGAGAGGAAAGATTTATCCACCTAAAATATCGAAAAGAACTGAGGATGAATCAGCTCTCAAAACTTGTGACGAAAAGACCCGAAGATCCTTGAATTAATTCGAAAGGATATCACTTTCTCACATTTTTATAAGTGGATCAACCCAAGTCAAAATGTTTTTTTCGATGTTTGACACTCACACACAAATGACCTCCTAACGCCGGTATCCAAACCCAACCAAAATTTATATTTCTCAATCCCAACTCCCGAATTAACTAATAGCCTTATATATCACATGAGCGTAAAATCTTCCCACATAACCAATCACAGAACCAAATAAATGCTCACGGCCGGGGTTAATAGAAAAGAGGAGGCAGCCCAAAGAACAAGAGAGGCTCACGACCAAGGCAAATCAAGGCACAAGAAGCTCACGGTTAGGGCAAGCCAAACTAACTATATAAGGATCTTTGATATACATAAGAGAGTTCAACATATGATCATAATTTCAATCCATCTACAATCATCCAAGTAGCTCAAGCCCAACAAATAAGGATTAAATCACACCAAACAACCTGCAATAGGTCTCACGGGTAAGGACTGTAAGAGGAGCAAATCTCAATGGTGAGCTCACGGGTAGGACAAAAAGGGGGATGTTAACTCAACCACATCACAAACGCACGGCTAGGAACCATGAGATGAGAGGAATAGGCTCTCAGATAAGGGCTGCAAGGCAACACACAAGCAAGGTAGACAATTGCCAATGATACTCAAGGGTAGGAGAGCAAACCCCACAAAGCTTTCGGATAAAGGTAGTAGGGATAAGTCACCATGCCCACTGCCAACCCCACACCAGGATTCAGAGGCAAGAATAAACATAAGACCAGAGAATAGAATCAAGCCCCAAACCGAGGCATATATCACAGTAAAACTGGGTCCAAGTAAATATCAAAACTGCAGCCTTATAAACTTCCAAACCAATCCGATAAAACCAGCTA